TGGAAAAAAATTATATAGAAAAATCTATCCTTAATTGTACAATTCTATTATTCTCTAACTTCGTTGCAGTATCAATATCATAAAATTATACAACAATTTCATTAATGAAATTTGCCAATTGAGTCGACCTTCAGATACTGAGAGATATCTTTGTCCTGTTGAAGTTTGAATAACTCTATGATTTCGTGCATCTTGCTGATGTTCGTTTACTTTGATCAATAATATGATGTGCGAGTTTTGTAGAAGTAATGGTTAAAACATTCCGTAGCTAGTTTGGGGATTTTCTGGTTCATTTTTTTGTTCTCAGTAATCATTCATTTCTGTACGTGTTTCAGTTTTCTAATGGAAAACTCCAGTATTGTTTAATGTGATGCTTTTGATAACATGTATGCTCCAATGAGAGCAGTTACTTTTGAGGAAGATGGCAGGGACCCGAACATCTGGTTTCTTAATCATAACTATCATGAATCAATGGTTTGTTCTCATGCTAAGAAAACAATAGTTTCTTACAAAACATTTTCTGGTCTGTGGATATAATTTGACGTGCTAATAAATTTATATCAGTAAAGGAGCATGTTGTAGGTTGGTATAGCACTGGCCCAAAACTGAAAGAGAATGACCTAAATATTCATGAACTTTTTAACGGGTTATTTCTTTCTGTAAACAGAGGAGGTTTCATTTTCTTTCTGTATAAAGAGAATGACCCAAAACTGATTTGGTTGAGAAGTACATGGAGGAGCTGGCCCAACTCGAGACCTAAATATTATCACGCTCTGTCGTCCGAGCTTCCCATGTTTGTTCGACTTTTTCACTATTATTCTGGTAAAGAAAGAAAAAACGAAACTAGATAATTTGCGAGTTTTCTTGTAAAAATTGCCCACGGGTCATATTGAGAAACATATCCTTTTCGGTTGAATTTTCTTGGGTTGAGTCTTGATTTGCAGGATGGGCCGACAAAATTCACGGCCTAACCGCGCCGGCCGATGAACATTCATTATTTATATTCAAGTTTCTAATTCATGTTTTCTCAAATATTTTTTTTTTTTTTTTTTTTAGGAGGANTTTTTTTTTTTTTTAGGAGGAACCTGTTAGAACTTAATAATGCTTTAGGTTTAGTTAATGAAGAATTATGTCAACATCTACTTTTGTATTTTCTCGTTGCTTTGCTGCATGAAGTACAAGCATGCACTACACCCTTCTGCAGCTCATTAAATGAGCATGGACCACATGCATTGGTTTACCTAGTTAGGGTTTATCTTGGAGATATAAATATCATTGTAAGTTTCCTTTCTCATGTAAGTTGAACATTAAGAGTTTAATGCATCTTTGATGTATATGGTGTGTTCAGTATTTATTCTTTCATGGTACCAGAGCCATGATCCTCCATACCTGTCTTTAGTTTGAATCTCGTTTTTCAAAAACAAAAAAAAAACCAAACTTCAGATCTGTGCTCTATCCTTTGGATCTGCACTATTCCTTTACCATGGCAGACTCCTCATCATCAAGCCCTTTCACTATCACTCACACAAATCCATTCCAGATCAACTCAAGCTCGAATCTACAGGTCATTCAGCCACAGTCTCAAATCATCACCACCATTCTTTCTGAAACCAACTATTTAATCTGGAAACAACAGGTTCTAGCTGCAGTGAAAGGTTATGGGCTCGATGGTTATCTGTATGGTACCCTTACAGTGCCTTCCAAGTTTATCACAAAAGAAAACTCTGAAGATCTGGAAGCAAATCCAGAATATCATGCCTATCTAAGGCAAGATCAGCTACTTGCCTCATGGCTGCTATCATCTATCTCAGAAAGTCTTCTTGTACTCTTGGTTGGAGTTGAGTCTGTCCATGAAATGTGGAAAACCTTGGAGATGAACTACTCAAGCCAATCTCTGGCAAGGCAAATGCAGTTTAAACTGCAACTCTCCACAATGAAGAAAGGGAACCTCACCATGAGAGAGTATATAAGCAAGATCAAGCTATGCTGTGACTCTTTAGCATCAACAGGACAGAAAGTCAAAGAACCAGATCAGATCTTGCATCTTCTTGCTGGGCTAGGGTCTGAATATGACTCAGTGGTAGTAACAGTCACATCCAAGCTAGATTCCTTCAACCTCAATGAAGTTTGTGCACTACTACTAAGTTTTGAATCAAGGCTAGAATCTGCTAGTGGTGTAACTATTGAGGAAAACCAAGTCCTATCTGCTAATGTTACCTCTCAGTCTTCAAAAAAGGACTCCAGCTTCACTAGCAACTCGTCTGGAGGAAGAAGCAATCAAAGCTTTAGAGGAGGAAGATCAGGAAGAGGTAGGGGCAGGGGAAGGTTCCATCAACAAACAAGAAATGTCTGTCAAATCTGCCACTACACAAACCATACAGCAGATAAGTGTTACTATAGAGCTGACTTGAACTTTGTTCCAAACTCCTCTACTCAAAACAGTCAGAGAACCTTCTCAAGAAACAGAAATCAGAATCTTCAAGCCATGATAGCACAGCAAGATGCCAACTCAGTGGTTTCTGATGGAGCTTGGTATCCTGACTCAGGAGCTACCAATCATGTCACCTTTGAAATGGGAAATCTGAATTCAGTCTCTGACTATCAAGGCAACAACAAAATGCATATTGGGAATGGAACAGGTCTGCCCATTACACATGTTGGGTCATCTTATCTTCAGTCAGATTCAACCTCACCAGTTTTTCTTCTGAAAAATCTTCTGCTTGTTCCAAATATAACCAAGAATTTAATAAGTGTCTCACAGTTTGCTTTGGATAATTCTGTCTTCTTTGAGTTTCACCCTCGGTTTTGTTTTGTTAAGGATCAAGCTACGGGCGAAGTGTTACTCCAAGGGAGAATTAAGGATGGCCTATATCAGTTTGATGATCTTAGCTGCCTCAAGAAGCCTCTGAAGATCTCAAGCTCAAGTGCAGATTTGTGTAAGGAAGTGAAATCTTTTGCTTATGTTTCTATGCTTTCCAAGAAGCCAAATTTCAATGTATGGCATCAAAGACTTGGTCACCCTTCTCTAGAAGTGGTAAAACAAGTATTAATTAAATGTAATGAGGAGCTGAACAACACTGAAACTCCTACTCTATGTGATGCATGCTGCAAATCTAAGATTCACAAGTTGCCTTTTCCAGAATCTCAATCTACTTACTCTTGTGCATTTGAACTTGTACACTGTGATCTGTGGGGACCATCTCCAGTACACTCATACACCGGTCACAAATATTACATTAGCTTTGTTGATCAGTTTTCTAGGAATACATGGATTTACTTTCTCAAAAACAAGTCAGATGCTTTGAGTGCCTTTACACAGTTCAAGAAAATGGTTGAAAATCAGTTTAATGCTAAAATCAAAACACTTCAGAGTGATGGTGGAGGAGAATTCCAATCCTTTGCTCATGTTCTGAAATCACATGGTATCATTCATAGGCACTCGTGTCCCTACACTCCTCAGCAAAATGGATTGGTAGAAAGGAAAAATAGGCACATTGTTGAAGTTGCACTGTCTCTCCTTGCACAATCTGGAGTGCCTAGCTATTATTGGGTTGATGCCTTTAGAACATCTGTTCACCTCATCAACATGCTGCCTACTAAAGTTCTTCAAGGGAAGTCACCTCATGAAGTCCTTTTTAACACTGAACCTGCATATAAGAACTTAAGAATCTTTGGGTGTTTATGCTATCCTTATATAAGACATCTCAACAAAAACAAGATGCAGTTTAGGTCATATCTTGGAACCTTCATTGGCTATGAAGAAGGATATAAGGGTTTCAAAGTCCTTCTTTCCTCTGGAAAGCTGCTCATTAGTAGACATGTAGTTTTTGAAGAAAGTCAGTTTCCCTTCTTAAACAAGAAGAAAGAAACAAATGATCATCAAAGTCCATCTATTCCTCCATCTGTCTTGGGTCCTCTTTTAGTTGAAGTTCAAAAACCAGGTCATGATCCAGATTCCTCACACACAGTGTCTACTCCTTCTCAAAGAAGTATTGCTGTCACACCTAACAGTAGGGACTCTCATTCTTACACTTCAAGGAGAATCTCAACTTCGGGTCCTAGTCACACCACTATACCTCTAGTTGTAGACCTTCAAATTGAGCCTGAAGTGCCAAGAAATCAACATTCAATGGTTACAAGAGCAAAGAGAGGGATCTTCAAACCAAAAGCTCTCACGCACAGTCTCAGTCTCAGTGATGATCAAGAACCTTTAACTGTTCAAGATGCACTTGACTCAGTACATTGGAAAGCAGCAATGGACAGTGAGTACACCTCACTCCTAAATAACAACACTTGGACTCTAGTACCTCCACCACATGGTAAACCCATTATAGGATGTAAATGGGTTTACAAAGTAAAGAGAAACTCTGATGGCAGCCTGGCTAGATACAAAGCAAGGCTTGTAGCCAAGGGATACACACAAAATGCAGGAATTGATTTTGAGGAAACATTTAGTCCTGTGGTGAAGCATGTGACCATTAGAACTATACTTTCATTAGCTGTTTCCTTTGGCTGGAAGATAAGGCAACTAGATGTCAACAATGCCTTCCTCCATGGTGAGCTAGAGCAAGACATCTACATGCAACAACCTCCTGGGTTTGAAAGTGATGCTGAGAGCAATCTTGTATGCAAACTTCAAAAAGCTATCTATGGCTTAAAACAGGCACCTAGAGCTTGGTACACTAAGCTCAAACAAAAGCTGTTGGATACAGGCTTCCTTTGCTCAAAAGCTGATCATTCTCTTTTCTATAGAATCAAAGGTGGATCATATCTTCTTGTCCTTGTGTATGTTGATGACATTATTGTCACTGGCAGCAATGAAGAAGAAATCACTGAACTTATCACTACCCTGCACAAAAACTTTGCCTTAAAGGATCTAGGAACTCTTCATCACTTCCTAGGAATTGAAGTCACAACTAACTCACAGGGTCATCTGCATCTCAGTCAGTCTCATTACATCAAGAAGCTGCTAGGAAAAGTCAATATGCTGCAAGCAAAAGGAGCTGATACTCCTATGACCTCCTCACAGCAACTTTCTAAACACTTAGGGGGAGATGGAGTTGATGCCACTCTTTATAGAAGTGTTTTAGGAGCCTTGCAGTACATTACAATCACTAGACCAGAAATTTGCTTTGCTGTAAATAAACTAAGCCAATTCATGCAAACTCCTTTAGACACTCACTGGAAAGGAGTTAAGATGCTGCTTAGATATCTTGCAGGGACTTTATCCTTTGGTTTATCAATTTCCAAGTCAGCTAATATGAACATCATAGCTTATTCTGACTCAGATTGGGCAACAGATATTGATGACAGGAAATCTGTCACTGGATTTTGCATATATCTTGGTGATAATCTTGTCTCTTGGTGTTCTAAGAAACAACAATCCATTTCAAGGTCTAGCACTGAAGCTGAGTTTAGAAGTCTTGCTCATTGTAGCACTGATCTGTTATGGCTCACCTTTCTCCTCAAAGAACTTTAGCTTTCTTCCTCAACCATTCCTGTGATTTGGACTGACAACATTGGAGCAGAAGCTTTATCTTTAAATCCTGTTCTTCACTCAAAGGCAAAGCACATTGAGCTAGACTTATACTTTGTCCAAGACAAAGTCAGTCAAGGTTGCTTCTCAGTCAGGCATGTTCCTTCCATTGATCAGACAGCAGATATCCTTACCAAAGCATTACCTTTTCAATCTTTCACAAGGCTGAGAAATAGACTGAAAGTTCTTCCTCTTCCTCGCTCAGATTGAGAGGGGCTGTTAGAACTTAATAATGCTTTAGGTTTAGTTAATGAAGAATTATGTCAACATCTACTTTTGTATTTTCTCGTTGCTTTGCTGCATGAAGTACAAGCA